GAAACGATTTCAAGGGTCGTTACCGTCCCCTCGAAATCCGCGACGAAAGCGAAACGGGCCGAAGGACACCGCGGGCCCCGTGTTCCTCGGCTCGTTATTCCGGTCAGGGACCACCTCCTGGCGTGGCGGCGGTCCTCATTGTAGGACAAGTAGTCGACGACTCTGTTTCGCCGCGAAGGGTCGGGAAAAGCAACGCCGAACACGCTCGAAGGTCGTTACGAAGCGAAACGACCAGCCGCCGCCTCTCCCGTCCCTTCCCTCCTTTCCTTCCCACGAATTGTCCGCCGATCCCCTCGCCGGGATACCTCTCCACTTCATTCCGCCTTAATCTCACCGCCTCCACTCCCGACCACGATTTTCACCACGGTTTCGATTCGAGATCAACCTTGTTTTCGAGAATTTTTGCAATTAAGATTTTTGGACACGAGTTTTCCACTTTAGATTCGGATCTTGAATCTCGTGAGAATAATTGCAGGGAGGCGGGTTACGTTGCAGTATAGTTTCTTTCTAAGAATAAGAAAACTTATAAAGAAAAATTCACAGAATGATCAAGTTTCGATTCGAGTTTTCTTTACATCCTTTCTTTTCGTCTTTCGTTCCGCCTGTTTCCTCGAGTTTCCTCGTGCTGGTCGGTTGCTGTCCTACGATTGCGGTCGTGGTGGCCACCACCGAGCAGAGATTTATGTTCCCCGCCATGCTGACCCTTCCCCCGCTTCGCTTCACGAGTCTTTAACCCCTTCGGGTGTTGCGCTCTTCCATCATGAGAGGGGAAGTCGAGTTCTCGCGTTGTTGCGAAGCTATCGGTGATGTCGAGATGATTACACGTGCATTTATTTATTTACGCTATCGTTTTTTTTCTCTTCTAAACTTTGCTCAACCACGACCAATAACAACGAAACCAGTGTAAATAGAAATTTAATAAATTGTCAGGGAATTCAAGGAAATGAAATCCCGTTCGAGAGATTTCTCGATCTCGAAACGAAACCACGTAAAAACGAATTTACGTTAGAAGAAGATTCTGATTGCTTGCTGATCCCATCTTCCCGCAAAAAATAAATCGCACGTTTCGATCGATTTTACTTAACATCGACACAAAAATTTCCAAAGGATTCGAGACATGTAATATTAACAAGGATCACGAATCGTGATCTCTCTAATTAACACCATCGTTGATCCAATTGCGAGCGTCCCGCTCGATTTGCCCGTTAAAATATATTCCACCGTCCCGTTTCCCGGAAAAATGGCGGGGAACCTCTTTGGGGATGCATGCCTGTCCCTTGTTCGTGCGTTCGGATGACACTATCGGCCCACGATTCGCACGAGTGCGCGCGCGCACCGAGATGTTTCACGTGCCCGAACACGCGGCGCGCGCTGTTCATCCTCTTATCTCGAATCTTTTCGCGAACAAAACGCCTCCTCGCTACGGTAACCGGCCCTAGCATTTCGAATGCACGTGCATCCTTGCCCGATCGAGCCTATTCTCTCTCTCTCTCTCTCTCTAAACCTTTTGGCTTTGGCTCGAAGTAAAATTATTGTGCACAGTTCTTCACGATGTATGTACCGCGAACAAGCGTGAAATTTTTCGTAATTCGTAAAAAGTAACACAACGATTCGTTAATATAAATTCTGTTGATTTTAAACGTTTGTACGGGTTACGAATGCGCGTTAATTCTCGATCGATATTATTGATTTATTCGTTTTATTTATAGAGAATGTGTGTATTTTCACATGTGTATTTTCTATAACGTATTTTTGCCCGGATTTCGCGCGTTTCGTGCGTTTCGAATGCGTTTCCAACGTGAAATCTGAAAGCGCGCAATCAACATCGATACTTGCAAATTTCACTGGGTATCTACGTTTTTATCGCACGTGTCGTTACAACGTGTACAACGCGTTTCTGGGGGGAAGGGGTCGATCAACAACGAGAACGGTGGTCACGCTCGTTCATAGAACGTCGTCGTCCTCGCGAGAGAGCAAGTGTCGGCGACAACGTGGCAAGCAACAGTTTGCCGACGATAAATCACAATCCCAGAGAGCGTGTCGAGCGAACTATCGGTTCTAGAAACGGTACTTCGATCGATCCGTGCGTCGCGAATCCAGTGTCATCGACTCGACGCCGCGAAATCGCGCGTTCCGCACGATCCTTTTCGCGTTTCCCATTCGTTTCGCGAATTTCACCAATTTTCTCTATCGATTCTTTCCAGGCGAAATAAAAATTCTCCCATTTCCTTTTTCCTCGTTCATTTACGTACATTTTCCACACCCCCGCCAAATTTCGTAAAAAATTTAAATTCGGTTCCTGTAAAATCTAACGTAAATTACCCTTTCCAAAATTAATGTAATGCTTGCTAGCATTTTGTTCTACGACAAAATGCTGCGCATAAAGCTTTTTTTCTTTTTTCTCTTGTCGAGCTACCAATGAAAATTCTATTTTAAATCGAATCGAGCCAGCGCGTAAATTTTTAGCCTGCTCTTTCAACGATTATTCAAAGAGCGACGTTCGATGTAAATTTTTAAAAATTGCTAATATCGAGATTAAAATTTCGGACGGGGTGAAAATTTCCGTCCCACCTTTCCCACGAACTTGGGGGGAAAAAAATGACTCTTTTCAACGTTGAAACGTTACTTTCCACGATATTCACGAGGCGGGCGTGTGTGGCAGCGAAAGCCGCGTTCCGAAAATACGAGTCGGCCGCGCTTTTTATTATTCATAAACCCATCGGGTCGGTGAGAGAGCATTTTCGACTCGGTGTACGAGCCAGTGATCGTCACGTACACGCGTCTATACACTCTCGAATGATTGCGAGTATTAAACCGTGGAGACACGCGTGCGTGCTCGCGGGGTCTCGCGTGCAGAAACGGGACAACGATGTCCAATTACAAAGCGTATGTCTTTCCGAGGGAAAATGAGGCGAGCGTGTGTTACGAAGGCTTACGAGCACGATGTTTAATTGATTATTTATGGTACGATCGATTTTAAGGAAGGATTGCTTTGTTAGCAAAAATTGAACGAACGACGATTAAATTCTCGTGAATTTAATTTAATTTTAAAATTTGAAAAAAAGAAAAAAAGAAAGGAAAATAAATATTAGGATATAACGCGTATTTTGTATGCAACGATGTCCAGTCGTAATTTCCTTTCGCAGAAAAAAAAGAAGAAAGAAAGAAAGATCGTTCGTTCATTCATTCTCTCCTTCCCTATTATAAAAAAAAAAACACTTAACACAGAAATAAAAAAAAGATAATCTTCTATATATACGAACGAGATAATAATCTATTCTATCCCCGATGAAACTTAACTAGAAAAAAGCAAAGCGACTAAAGTTATAAGTTGACAAAAAATCGTGTCGATCTCGTGTAAACACATACTCGGGAAGGAGCAAGAAGACATCAGGTAAAAAGAAGAAAAAAAGAAGAAACTAGAAACACTTTCATAGACCACGCGTGAACGAAGTTGAAAAAAACCCGGAAAAAAGCCGGCAAAAAACGAGCAAGTCTCGCGTTGCAGTTGTTCCTCGTGCGAGGAACAAGGACAGTTAGTTTCACGAACCTCGTTCGCCGACGGAAGAACGGAACGAGGAGAGAACTAGTATCTCGTCGAGCGAGAGACAAGGACAAATGATCTCCGCGAACCTCGTCTAAAGACGAGACACGATATTCGGGACTAGAATGAAACAAGGATAGCGTTAGTTTCGCGAGCTTCGTCTAAAGACGGCGATACTCGTTCGAGTGTTAGAGGAAGACAAAGATAGATCTCGTCGAACGAGAAACAAGAATAGTTAATTCATTTGGAGACAGCGATATTCGGGTTAGAGTGGAATAGATAGTCTCGCGGACCTTGTTTAAAGGCGACGATATTCGGGACTAGAGTGGAACGAGGACAGAATTTAGTATCTCGTCGAGCGGGAGACAAGGACAGATGGTCTCGCGAACGATATTCGGGATTATGGTGGAAGGAGGATAGAGTTAGTATCTCTTAGAAGAATAAGGATAGTATCGTGGGACAGAGATAGGGCTAGTATCTCGAGTGTGTCGGAAGGAGGGAACCGGACGGACGGGAGTGGAACACCACGGGTACGACCCTCGTTCCTGAACGGATCGAGCACGGTGGAACGAGGATAGAGCGGTTCAACGAGGGTGTCGCAGTAGAGGGAGAGAGAGAGAGAGAGAGAGAGAGATAGAGGATATTCAGTGATGGAAAGAGATGGATAAATAGATACTATATCTCGGTGCTGTCCGAGCCTTACTCGCGAGTAAAAAGACTTCCCCCATTGGCGAGCGTCTTCTTCTGGTTTCAAGACCGACGCGAGTAAGGAAAGTGGGAAGTTATATATCGAATGTCGCGATCTGTCTTTTTATATTTTATATTTTTTTTTTATAAGAAGTCGAGAAGGGAGATGAAGATAGTTTAAATTGATCGCGATACGCGGAAGAAGGGAATAAAGAGTGCTTAACGATTTAATTAATTGGTTAGCGATGGATGGGATCATTGGTAAATTTTATTGGAGATAAAATAATAAAAATTTTTCGAGTAATACGATTATTAGCATATTCCGTACAGATAATAAATGGATGGTGCCAAAGATACACCAGTCTTTCATATTTAATAACGCAACGTGTCACATTGACACAAGGGACGGATGAGGGTTAAGAGGGCCGAATATCTCTCGATTAAGACGGAGTGGTTCTGCCCATCGGAGTGGGGCCCCTCGCGTAGCTTTTATCCCCTTTCGTTTCTCGTTATAGAAAAAACAAAAACAAAAAACAAGAAAAAAAAATTCCTCGTTATTGAACGCTTTCAATCCTATATCACGTCATTCTTATTTTTCATTACCGTCTTTATAGGCACTACTACTTTATTACTACTCCATTTCGTCTACAATCATTAAGCCTCCCATAAAACTCCCATTCACAATCATCGTCGAGATTCCAAGCACGCTTGGGATCGCTCACAGCGATCACGATTCTAATCAAAATGGTTACTTTCAACTTACTTTCAGGACATAAAGGGTTAAGACGGAAGACGACACGCACAAGTCTGGTGGGGGTAAGGGAATTTTACTCCGCGAGTGAGGCTTGTGGACAGCGCTGTCTTATTCAACGCGAGAGAGACAGAGCGAGAGAGGAAGGTGAAAAAGTGGAAGATAGAGAGAGAGAGAGAGAGAGAGTATGTGTGTGTATGCGTGTGTGGAGCTCGAGGTTGGAACTCAAGCGCGAAACGGAGGTGGCGGGCTGAGTTCTGGGTGGGAGAGAGAGGCCTGGTGGTGGGAGAAGGATGGAGCGTTTTATGGGTACGAGGTGAGGTCGAGGAGGAGGCACGATGAGCGCGCGTGAGGGATCGTTCTGCTCGGGAGGGGCCCGCCAGAGGGGCCAGGGGATTCTTATCGGGTTCTAGGATCGCGAGGCTCGCACGTACGGCAACCGCAACCACTGAGGGAACCGACGAGGAGAGATGGAGCGGAATTTTTGAACGTGCGTTAACAGTGTCGATCGTTTTTTGGCCCCGATTCGGATTCTACTCTAGGGGCCTCTAGTTTTAGATTATTTTAGATTGCAAGGTATATAACGATGTTTTCTCGTCGTTTCGACCGACGATAAAATGGATGAAATCGAGGAATTAAAGGACGAGTTTTTGACCGTGTTTTTTTAGTTTGTAATTTTAAAAGTTAAGCGAAATTGTGCTCGTTCGAATGTAAACAAGCTTTTCAGATAACGAGTTAATCTTATCGCTTTATAACGTTCTGTTATGTGTGTTGGTGCCGGTGTATGGGTTAGATTATTGGTTGCTCGTGCCTCTAATTAGGGATACAGTGAATTTGGATTAATTAGAACACGAGTCGAGCTCAGGTATGTCTAATCCACGCTGTGGTTATGTAATGGCGGTGAGTGGCTGTGAGAAGTGGTTGCGTGAATAGTGAGAGTAGATTAATGCTCGGTAATTATCCGATTGAGTTTATCCTTTCCAAATTACCTTCGAATTTTCGAAACGAAAAAAAAAAAAAAACTAAACTACTCTTTTCTAAAAATAGAGACAAGTATAATATGAATACATAAGATTTATATCTGATAAATTGCACGATAGATTTATGAATGGGAATTTTATTTCTCTTAAAATTCATCTATCAAAACACTTTCCTCTACTGCTATTCAAACTCTTCTCTCTCCTCCCTATTACAAATCTATTATATAAAAGAAAAATCAAAACCACTCCTCCTCTTCATCGAACCGAAAAGAAACAATAACCCAAAAACACACCTTCCTCGACAACTTAACACGAACTAAACGAAGCATCGATCTTCGTGTCGAAATTATTCTAACGCAAATATAATCGAAGCAACACTTTTTCTACTCGTATAAGCTTCCTCCTCCTCCTCGTCTAACCGAAAAGAAGCGTTGTCAGAGACATATCAAGACGCACGAACCCGTTACTTCCTCGTGGCGTGGTAAAAGCCGGCTTGTCGCGGGTGTAGCTGCCGATAAATCAACAAGTATACACCATATATATACATATATATACAAGCGGCAGTTGGCGAGGTTCTGTCGGATTCGCGTTGCACGCGCGAACACGCGCGGACACGTGGACAGACAGAAACGTTGCGCTGAAAGAGAGCTAAAAAGGGAGGCAGCCAGCAGCCAGCCTGGTGATTTATCTCGTAGACGGCTCCACGGTCCCTTGGAGGAATTTCTGCTGTCGGCGGCCACGGACGATCTTCTCGACGAAGGGAAGTCGATCGACCGGAATACGTCGACGTAACGAACCGATCCTCCTCCTCGACGCTTTCTTCACCCTCCTCCATTTATCGCGGTGACGGATGAGAATCGTGCAAAACGTTATCACACGCGTCGCGCTTTCCTTTTTTTTTTTTTTTTTTTTTCGAGAAAGGACGCTCGTTGACGATCGTGGTGTTTCAAAGTTCGATCATTTGTTCCCTCCTTTGGACGAATGGGTTTGAAGATATTTCCCTTTATTTACTTGTGGGGAAGTAAGAGTAGTGGAAAGTTGCAATGATCGATCGATTCTCGAACATGGATCTCTCTTCCTGAAAAAGAAGAAATTAGATTGGAGTTTTTTTAAGATCGATAATTCGGTTTTGAGTTTCTTGGTTCAATTGCTTTCGAATTATTTAATTCCTTCGTAGAAAAAAGTTGTTATGATTTAACCGTGATATAATTGGGAATCTAGAGCACGATACATAATTATTCGATCTATAATTGGAACTGTTTATTTAGAGATGATTAATTCAACTCCGTGCGCGATAAACTCTGCCTTCTTCTTTTCGATATCGATCGATAGGCTAAATTGAACTGCGAAGCGTTCAACACGCGTTACAGCCGGTTAAAGGCTACTACTGATTACTCGCTACCCGCTTCTAACCGCTGGCAATTACCGGCAACAATTGGTCTACTGTGCTCCGCGCTGCGAAAAGTGTTAAACGTACTCCAAGCTTGAGCTTAGCCTTTGTCAAACTGATCTCAACCGCCATCGAATATATTTCAAGTGAACGCACTTTCAATCGTCATTTTTTATATTATAAAATGGAAATTTTTTTCTTCCAAATCCATCCGCTTCGAGCATTAACTGTCCAATATCCTTTTTTCCTACGATGATTTTTCAAGTCGACTTTCAAACACTTCGCTCAAACTCGGCTCGACCTTGAACCTCCCCCCTTTTCTATTCTTCCCCCCGTCCGGGGGAATCATTCGTCCAATGTTCTCCGAATTTTCCAACATCTCCTCCTCGAACGTATTTTCGTCGATCGTCGAATCGATATTCCCGTTTCATATTCTCCCCGTTATCGTTTCCCTCGTCGTTTTTCGGCCGATGTTCAACTGGTCACCTGTTGATCGTACGACGTTTGCAGCAACACCGGAAACAAAAACATATTCGACGTTTCCGGTCGTGCAGGACCGGGTCCTGTATTCTCTCTCGCGTCGTCCCTCTTCCCCTCCCCCTGTCTGACACATGATTCGTCGCGCTAATTGGACCTTTATTATGCAAATACGGGCGATCGTGGTCCGCGCGCGTCGCAGGGGAATAGATGGGGAAACCGGTAAAGATGGAACGAGTTTGTACGCGTTGAATTGACTCGTTCGTGGCTAAGATCGGGTATGAAAGGTTTCTGGGAAAAATTTATTACGATATCGGACGAAAGTCGAGTCGAGATCGGCATATTGGACGTTGCATTTCATCCATTTTATCCGATAGGATTGTGTTTGTGGCTATTCGAAGCGAGTGGCACGAATCTCGAGTTGCAAAAATTGTTGTTTAAACTTTTCGACCGCAGAATCCGAAAAATTTGGAGTCCCCGTAGAATCCGCGCATCTTTAAAATTCAAAAATTCTTCCACGATTGAAGCGTTCGTCCGCATTGAAGCACAACCTTTCGACGAATGATTATAAACGTTCCGAAATATAAAGTGTCGACGATCGAAGAATAAAAACAAACCAGTTCGAATTTTGCCGTCCTCCGATATTTCCAAAATTCGATTCACCTTCGAGTCTGTTTTCCGCCAATATATCGAAGCGATACTATTATATAATTATTGTGAATCCTCCGAAACGTATCAAACTCTCCATCATCGAGAAATAACTCGACGTTTTCGAATTTTTCAATCATCGTTATTAAAATTATCCGTTATTCTCCCAAAATTCGCTCCACGTCGAAGCGAAATCCTGAATACCCAATTATAAATCCTCTGATCCGAATAACAAAACGAAACGAACTCTACTTTCTTCCGCGTATTTCTCCACGCCTTCGAAACGATCGTTAATGAAACGTAGATTTCTATTTTTTTTCCCCCCCTCCTTTTCCCCGTGGATCGCAAATTCGTGGACGAATCGGCGAGTTTCCCCACCGCCGCCTGGAAATTAAGAGCCTCGTAAGAAAGTCTCGCACGGTTTAATTACCATTCAAGCCGGAGGGCCAGAGGGAGGACTGGCTCATGCAAGTATAATTCTTCTCCTCTCTCTCTCTCTGTCCGCCCGTGGAAGGCATTACGCGTATAACTCGTGTACACGATCTCGAATGCTGGAATACTGCACGATGCGCGAAAATAGAGGGAAAACTCGCTGGGGAAATGTGTTTCGTGTTTCTCGGATATCGCGTTTAATGTTTCGTTCTGTTATTTTCCCTTCTGATTTCCCTGCTCTTTTGACGAAAATCTCGTGATTTGTTTTCGCGAACTACCTTTTTTTTTTTTTTTGAATTTTCGTTGAAAATTTTTATTATGGAAAATATTTTAAATCGTGAGATATATATGTATGTTGTTGTCATATACGATTCGATTAATCTTTGCGAGTATAAATTTTTGCAAGTTTAGATCGAAGTAATTGTGTTCGAAAAGTATTTGCAATACTTTTTAATAACATCTGTACTTGCGTCACTTGAATTTCCAATTTATCCTAAATTTGTATAAAATTGAATTCCAGTGCTCTTTTGTTTGATGAATTTGAATCGTTCGTCGATTAATTCTTTAATTTCGAGAATAGAATACGTTTCTTTGTGTCATTTACCAATCTAAATTATATTGATTCAGTCTTTAAAAATTCACGTAGCGGCGTATTCCCGACGAGATCGAGATACGATATATTTCATTATTTAGATATTTTTCTTTTTCCAAGCGGAAGGAAAGGATAAATTTAAACTGTAATGCAATTATCACGGGCGGCAGCTCGATGATGAATTTCCTTCGATTTGCATATTGAGAGAGCCAATGTTCGTTAACGATGGAAAATAATTTGCGGCTGGCCAATGACGATGTTACAATATGCGTTTCTTCGGCAAACCATGGCCGGAAGTAGATATTCACGTTACATCGTCGTTACGTCGCAATTTACAACCGATGAAATGAGTTTTACCGGTGCCAGTAAATGGACAAACAGCCCGATAATGAGCCTGGTGTGACTTTAATACTCTTGACTATCGTGATAATGTTTTCTTATAATAGTTGAAATATCAGACGTGAAATTGATTATGCGAGAAATTAATTGATATTTTGAGATAACGATATTTGAGATTTTTTAACAATTTTTTTTTTAGTAATTCTCGACGTGGTTGATATTAGATTAGAAATTACTTAATTGATTAATTAATTCTGGAATTAAAATTTCGTAGATGCAAGTTTTCACAGACGCGAGTATTTAATATAAATTCGTTGATATTTTTTTTTAG